AAAGTTTCGATAGGTACATCTCTAAGCGCAGTTAAAGGGCCTTTTTATAGTGGGAGAGAAAGTGAAGGGGACCTCAGGACATCCAATCTGCAGACACCTACCTGTCATCCATAAGATTGCCAGGGACAGGTCTGTCAAATATGTAGCTTGAGGCTGTGAAGGAAGCTAGGGACTCTCCCTATTATCGTGACGTCAATGAGAAAAAAAATATATATAGAACGATCTTATACGTTTCAAATTTCAGCTAGACCGTTGTCAGGGAATTTGGACTGTAGAGGAAGGTCATAGCCTGAGAAGGGGGGAGGCAGGCCGCGGGAGCGGGGTCCCCGACCAATGGGAAGGGGCGCGGTGCGGGGAGGAGGCGGCGGCCGGCTCCAGCGCCGCCGAGTCCGCGGGCGAGCGGCCAGGGCTGCGGCGGGGGCCCCGGCGGGGGAGGGGCACCTACCCGGGCGTGCGGGGCGGCGGCGGGCAGTCCCGGCGGCGGCTCTTCTCCGCGGAGGCGGCGGCTGCGGCGGCCGTGGAGGCAAAGGTGATGGCGGCGAGTCCCTGTGGCGGCCGCCTCCGCCGAACCGCATCCCTCCTCCCGGCCCGCCCTCCTTCCCTATCTCCCGGTCCTAAACTTCTTCCTTGGGATAAACAAACCCGCCGCCAGGGGCGGCCGCCTCCGCCGCTCCGGCTCCCGCCCCCGCCGCACCTCCACCACATGCCAGAGAACCCGTCGGGCTCTGGCTTCCAAGTGGGGATTCCCGGTCCCAGCCCAGCCCCGCGAGGGCGCGTGCGCGCGGCGACGACGGTGGGGCTCGCGAGGCTCTTCCTCCCTCCCCGCCGCGCCGGGACTTCCGGTCCAGCCCGGATCTTCCGCCGGGTTTTGGGAGTAGCCGCCGCCACCGCGCCGGGCACTTCCGGTCCAGCCCGGATCTACCGCCGGGCTTTGGGAGTAGCCGCGGCCGCGGGCAGGTTCCCGGCCGGCGGCCCGCCTGGAAGAGGAGGCGGGTGGCCCTTTCCTTGCGGTACCCGCGTCGGCCCGGCCTAAACCCTTCCTTCCCTGAAACCTCCGAACTGGTCTGGCTGAGCCCGGAGGGTGCGAAAGGCAGAAACAGTTCCTGCGCACGATGGCCCCGGGGCTGCCCGGATAGAGAGCCCCAGGTGCAGCTCAGAACCCTGTAAACCGCTGAAACGGGAACCGCGGCACACGGCCTCCAAGGGAAGGAAATCCGCGCCGGAGCGGGAAGGGTTTTGTCCGGGGATGAGCGCCAAGGGAAGGAGGGGGGGGTCCGCCGAGGGGCAGTCAGGAGCAGGCGGCCTCCCAAGGTGGGACATGGGCAAAGAAAACTTTACCAACCTCGTCTCTTCAGACATTTGCTTCAAGTGTTCTTTGCCGGCCTGGAGTTTAAAGAAACAGGTGATAAAGAACAACTTTATTCAGCAGACAATGGGCAAAAGATTATGGATCCAATTGCCTAGAAGGTTTCATTAAAGAGGTTTGAGGGACTTTCCAGAGCAGGCATGAGTGTCATTTAAGGACCCCCAGGTCATTCCACCGCAATGGCATCACTCACCTGATGGCCTGATGGCCTATGAGGGTTTCCAAGAAGAGAATGAGGGGAAGTGGAGGAAAAGAACGTATTATTTTACTATGTATTGAGCACTGTAAGCCGACTTGTATGATCTTTTTTAATCCTCTCAACTTTACAACTTCCTGGTAGAAATCCTTCTCATCAGACGGTTCAAGCAACTGAGAAGCAGAAAGAATAGCTCATCCTGTTGTAGAATCATAAGAAGTTAAGGAAATTCCAGGACAAGTGGAGTAGGGAAACTGGGACAGACAGTTAAACAGCAGCTTGCAGCCACCTACTAAGTCCTGTCTTCCCTAAACCAAGGACATTTAAGAGTAAATGATTTGCATTTCTCCTCCCCAACCAAGGGTAAATAGCTTCAATCACCCTACCCAGGGAGACAGATAACAGAAATCTAATTAGGTGCCACTCGCCAACCACACCCAAGGACAGACAAATTAAGAGAAAAAGTCTCATTTTGATAAATCGGCATAAAGCTGATGAATGTTCTATTGATTCTCCCCTAAACGCCCAGCCTTTAACACTCCTGAAAATGAAGGTCCCAGCACATCTCAGCAGGCAAATGCCATTCCCACCCCCACAGGTCCCTTATCCCCAACCTCTAAGGGACCCTATGAGACTTGCAATCCTGGGAGCAAAGGGCAGCAACAGCGCTTCCTGGGCTAACCCTCTGAACCCGTCTCGGAGGCCCCCTTTCCTCCGACTTCCCAGTGAGCCAAAGCAGCTCAGCCTAGGCCCTAGGCCAGTGGTCGGTCGGCAAACTCATTAGTCAACAGAGTCAAATATCAACAGTACAACGATTGAAATTTCTTTTGAGAGCCAAATTTTTTTTAAAATATATTTTATTGATTTTTTACAGAGAGGAGAGGAGAGGGATAGAGAGTTAGAAACATCGATCAGCTGCCTCCTGCACACTCCCTACTGGGGATGTGCCCGCAACCAAGGTACATGCCCTTGACTGGAATCGAACCTGGGACCCTTCAGTCCACAGGCCGATGCTCTATCCACTGAGCCAAACCAGTTAGGGCAAATTTTTAAAACTTAAACTATATAGGTAGGTACATTGTTATTAACTTAATTAGGGTACTCCTAAGCGTAGGAAGAGCCACACTCAAGGGGCCAAAGAGCTGCATGTGGCTCGAGAGCCGCAGTTTGCCGACCACGGCTAGGCTCTTGCTACCTCTATGCCCTTCCTTGTTTCATGGTCCTAAGTATATTTTTGCTGTGGTCAATAAATTATTGCTTTCTTTTCTACACTTTGTCTCTTGATTGAAATCTTTTCCCCAAGAAGACAAGAACCGAGGTCTCCTCATTTCGTCAGTAACAATACCGGGTTTACTGAAATTCGAAGATCTCCATCGCTCAAATTAATACTACATTGGCAATCTTACTTATATATTTAACATACAAAACGTGTGTTTAAAAATAGCAGAAAAATGCCCTGCCAGTGTTGTTCAATGGTTGAGGCTCCACCTATGAACCAGGAGGTCATGGTTCAATTCCTGGCCAGGGCACAAGCCGGAATTGTGGGCTCAATCCCCAGTGGGGGGGCAGTGCAGGAAGCAGCCAATCGATTATTCTTTCTTATCGTTGATGTTTCTATCTCTCCCTTCCTCTCTGAAATCAATAAAAATATATTTTAAAAATAACTAAAAATAGAAAAAGATCAGCCATAGAGGTCAAAGTTTTCTTAGGCCAAGAGTTTAAAAACAGAAGTGGAAGTGAGCACTGGCGTGCTGGTGACTTGATGGGGAGAGGAAATATTAGTGTAAAAATTCACATTCTCCGAACATGAAGAAAGAACAATTAAAGTTTTTTGCTATACTCATGTGGGCCTTGTTAACATCATGATATGTGACAGAAACAGTGAAAATTGCATGTAATTTTTGCCTAGGCCTGTTAATTATTTCAACCCCTTAACATTATACCCTGCCCTCTCTCCCACTGGTCAACCATTAGGCAGTAGTAAATGTAAAACGCTCAAGGAATCAAGCTCTCATAAATCTTTAAGTAGATTTCCAATTGGGAGTTAAGAATGAGTGGTACTGATACTGATGACCCTTGACACTTGACTGAGTTCTAGTCCAGGAGTGGTTCAATAAACTAGACTATTATAATAGGCTTTAGTTTATTGCTGCTATAAAAATAAGAGTTTTATCGCTGGTGTACAGCGTAGTGTACTTCCACTTGTCCTGTATCAGGCTTACACCGCTTACAACATTAGCCATTGCAATCACCCAACTAACTCCTTAGCTTAGACACCAAAATTATGATACTCATTGTGCTGCTCTTTTGTCAATTTCCTATAGGAAACCATTCAGACTCCTCAATGTATGTGGCTGACTTGGGGGTTTTTCTTATTGTAATTAATAGGTTGGCAGTTAGTAAAGATCAGAAGAGCCATTCTCTGAACTTAATGAGCACCTATGAGGACCACACTTTGGATCTTCTTGACTCAACCCTATGAGACTCTGTCTGAAGAGCCAACAGACCATCCCACTTTGATATTTAGGGACTGCAGCATCTTATTCTTCTTTTCTAAAACATCACGGGTCGACTCTCATCCATACTCAGACCACTGCAGAGCTTTCCTCTGCTCTGATGGCCTGCATACCACAAAACCCTCTGTATTCCTTGGCCCGGAAGTCTCCATTGATTTTTTTTTAGAGAGTTGAATGGAGGGAGGTGTAGAGAGGGAGAGAGAGAACAGCATTGATATGAGACACACACGTTGATTGGTTGCCTCCTGCACGCACCCAACGGGGACCAGGGATCAAACCTGCAACCCAGGTATGTGCCCTTGACTGGGGACCAGAAAGCAAACCTGCAACCCTTTGGATCAAGGGCTGACACTCTAGTCACTGTGCTACACCAGCCAGGGCCCAATTTTCCTTCGTTTTGGTAAGTTGTGTTTTTCCAATGAATTTATTTCACTTACATTTTATTCATTTGAAATGTCTTCTTATCTCTTTAATAATTATAATCATAGTGACTCTTCTTCATTCCTAACATTGGTCTTGCCATTTTTTTCTCACCAAGAGTTTAGCAATTTTTTTTTAATATATATTTTTATTGATTTCAGAGAGGAAGGGAGAGGGAGAGAGAGATAGAAATATCAATGATGAGAGAGAATCATTGATTGGCTGCCTCCTACATGCCCCCTACTGGGGATGGAGCCCACAACCTGGGCATGTAACCTTGACTGGAATCAAACCCGGGACTCTTCAGTTCGCAGGCCGACGCTCTATCCACTGAGCCAAACCAGCTAGGGTGCAATTTTTTTCTTTTAAAATAACTGCTTTAATACAATTTTTTTTGCATGTTTTACTTCCATTAATTCCTGCTATTATTTTCTTCCATTTGTTTAACTTTAATTTGTAGTTATTATTCTGGTTTCTTAAGAATGTTATATAGCTAATTCATTTTTAGCCTTTGTATTTTCTTTTTTAAAATATACTTTTATTGATTTCAGAGAGGAAGGGGTAGGGAGAGAGAGATAGAAACATCAATTATAAGAATCATTGATTGGCTACCTCCTGCACACCCCACAGTAGGGATCAAGTCTGCAAATCAGACATGTGCCCTGACCAGGAATCAAACCATGACCTCCTGGTTCATAGGTCGACACTCAATCACTGAGCCATGACAGCTGGGCTAGCCTTTCTACTTTCTAACTATGCATTTAAGGCTATAAACCTCCATTTAAGTATGGCTTTAAGCACGCCCCAAATATTTTGATATTCATATTTTCATTCAGTTCAAAATAATTTCTACTTTCCACTGGGTTATTGGGATGTACATTTCTTAACTTCCAAATTTGTAATTTTGTTGTTGTTATTAATCCTCACCTGAGGATATTTTTCCATTGATTTTTAGAGATAGTGGAAGGGAGAGAGAGAGAGAGAGACAGGAACATTGATGTGAGAGAGAAACATCAATTGATTGCCTTTGCACATGCCCCAACCAGAGCCGGGGATCTAACCTGCACCCAGGTACATGCCCTTGACCTGAATCAAACCTGGAACCTTTCAGTCCACAGGCCAACACTCTTTCCACTGACCCAAACAGGGTAGGGCAAAATTTTG